ATTTTACTCTTACCAGTATTTCTTTGCAAGTACTTCCTACACCTCTGCCAGAAAGAAAGAGTTCATTATTTCTGATCAAACAAAAGAATACGGATGCTTCAGTACTTTTTCACAGTGGCTGTTTAAAGCCTCATTTCTTCYCCGTTGTCTCTCATGAAAATGGCGGTCAGGGAGTGAGAGACTCAAGTGTGTGGTTACCATAGTGACTCTAATGAGCCACTGACATCAGCTTAAACCTTTCTGTTTATCTTTTTAATTCTTCTACATTTTGTCAACAGAACTTTGTTTTGTTTGAATAATCTTCATCATACCTGCCAGCAAGATCTCATCAAGCCCATCATCATCATCCTCATCATCCTCTTCCTCCTCGTCTTCATCAGCAGAGGCTCCTCCCTCTTCATCTTTAAGTTGATCTTTTTCTTCCTCGGCACCAACAGTTGCTTCAGTGATCAGTTTRTCCTCCTCTTCATCATCAACGCTGAGCTCCAGTGAGCTTGTATCAACATCTTCATCGTCTGCTTCATCTTCATCAGTGACATCATCACTGGAGACGGTCTCCCAGAGAGAGTTTTCGGTGTCTTCGTCTTCGTCGCCCAAGACTCCGCTGTCAGAGCTCAAAACAAGAGGAACTTCTTCTACATCTTCCTCCTCTTCCTTTTTATCCTCATCATCATCAGGTTTGTGAAGATCATCCTCATCATCATCTTCATCAGGGCCGGTGTCTTCATCGAAGTCTTCATCTTCGTCTTCGACGTCTGCAAAGTGTTCAGAGGACGCAACAGAGACGTCCTCTGATTGGTCCAGATCATCATCAGTACCTTCATCTTCCTCCTCATCCTCAGCAGGAGGAAGAGGAGAAAGATCTTCCTCACCTGCAGGTTTGTGTTCATCTTCCTCTTCCTCAGTAGAAACGGCTACAYGAGGAAGATCAACGTCCAAGTCATCATCAGTGTCCTCTAGAATGATGTCACTAGAGTCGTCTTCATCTTCCTCCTCTTCGTCACTGAGGTCTGTGGTGTCAGTGAACGCATCATCACTGGTTTTATCTTCATCCTTCTCATCATCTTCATCACTGTCTTTGAGGTCAGAGTCCGGAGACGGGACCGACTCTTCATCGTCTGAGGTAGACTCGGGTTCAGGAGAGGCTTCTTCATCAGCAACAGGTTCCTCCTCCTCATCTTCATCATCTTTTTCTGCATCGTCTTTCAGCTCATCATCATCATCATCATCATCATCATCATCATCATCATCATCATCATCATCATCTTCAAGCTCTGCAGCAGGTTCTTCCTCATCCTCCTCATCAGCCTCCCCTTCATCTTCTTCATCCTCTACTTCCTCCTCTTCAGTTTCTTCTTCTTCCTCCGCTCCTACAACTTCTTCCTCCTCTTCCTCTACCTCTTCTTCCTCATAGTCTTCCTCTTCATACTCCTCCTCGTACTCCTCTTCTTCTTCATACTCCTCATACTCCTCCTCATACTCTTCCTCCTCCTCTCCCTCATACTCCTCCTCATACTCTTCCTCATACTCCTCCTCCTCATACTCCTCCTCTTCCTCATACTCCTCCTCATACACCTCCTCCTCCTCCTCTCCTTCATCTCCCCCAGCAGACTCCACATCTTCCTCCTCCTCTTCCTCTGCTTCCATCTTTTCCAGTGTTTCCTTTGCTTGCATTCTTATAACTGTAAGAAAAACAAAATGATGAAGATAATCTGATG